TGTAGATGTGCCTCATCTGATCCATCAAAGGTTTAAATAGAAGAAATGGCAATATAAGAAAGAATTTCTCTCTCTCACTTTCCCTCCCTCCTTCCATATCTTAAAATGGGGACAGAGGGCTGGAGACGCATTCAGTGGTTGAGCACTTGTCTGTGCCATCCCCAACACTGTAACCAGCAAAACCTGGCACATCTGACTCTTGTCTCTGGACTCAGACTTTGATCCAAACCTACCCAATTGGCTCTCCTGCTTCTCCGGGCTTCTGATTAGACTAGAAATATGTATCATAGGCTCTCTTGGGTTCTCATCTTGCTGATAGCAGATCTTGAGACTTTTCAGTCTCCATAACTGTATGAGTCAGGTCCTTTCTCTTTAAACACACACACACACATACACACACACACACACACACACACACACACACTCGTTGTATTGTTTCTTTTTCTCTAGAGAACTCTGATGAATGTAGGGTTTCTTGGATTTAAGAAAATCAACTGAACTCAATTTGAAAGTGTGGTTTGAAATGTCTACAGAAATCTGACTAATTAAATAGAGAAATTGTGTAATATAAATAAGGAATCTGTGAAGTCAATGAGCTAACTGAAAGTTAATGAAAGAAGAAAAGAAAGTCTTATTTTTATACAAAACGTTCTGGCCTTATTAATAAGATAATATTTTGTAAATCAAGATTTTTAGGCTTAAGAGACATAAGATATTCAAACTTACTAATCTAATCGATTGAATAGTAATTAAAACATTAGTAATACTTATTACTTTCATGCCCCCCAAAACCCCCCGGGACTGGGGTTGTAGCTCAGTGGTAGATCACTTGCCTAGCCTGTGCAAGGCACTGGGTTTGATTCTCAGCAGCGCATATAAATAAATTAAAAATCCAACAACAACTAAAAAAAATTTTTTAAAAAAACAAAATTTGTTTGGAAACTGTCATCTACCATTTCCTAGAAACTTGTTTTGCATTTATTTCCTATCCATCCCCCTAATCTGGTCTCAATCACTCACACCTTTGCAGTCCCCACAAGGTCACTTCCCTGTGAACTTTCAAATGCTTGGTCCATCATCAGAAAATGCCCTCCCCCTCCCCTCTTCCACTCTCCCCTCCTCCACTTGCCCCTAGTCTCTCCCTTCCCTTTCCCTTCTCTTCCCTTGGAAATCAGGTAGAATAAGTGTCCTCTCCTCTTGCCACAGCCATTTTCTCCTTCACAGACCCCAGCTCCTTTGAAGTGCATGCTATCAGACTTTTCCATACATGGCCCATTCTTGCTGCTATTATGTGCCTACCTCCTGGTCACTTCCTTTCATTCTTGAGGGTTTTTTTTTTTTTAAGCACCTGGGCCACTATATTCTTTACCACTCCCCCTTCGACCATTCTTGCCAACCACAACTTCCTCAGAGACAATCCACCCAACATCCTGGCCACCTGTTACAGAGCCTGCTGTTCTGATTGTCCCTGAAATTATGGAGTGACAACACAGAGAAGTCATGCCATCACTGTCTCTGCTAATTATCTAGTCCTGGGAGAGGCAGGATTAGCAAGGTCCCCCAAATGTTAAATAGAGGGGGAAACATAATTAACATGCCTCCTCAACTCCTAGCAATCTCTTCCTCCTCCCCACCTCGGCCATCTGCTTTCACAGTCACAGTCTTAACTCTGTCACCACCAACATGCTAGGGATGTAACTCAGTGGTAAAGCACTTATTTAGCATGTATGAAGCCCTGGGTTTAATCCCCAGTACACAGACACACATATACCACCCTCTTATCACCTCCTTTTTACACTTCTACCTGGAGTGTCCCTGTTCCAACAATCCTTACATCTCACTGGGTCTATGATCTTGCCACATCTTCCTTCTGCAAAGTGCTAAAAAACACTACTGGGCATGCCACTTTTAAGTGTTAAGTAGATAAACTACCCCGGGGCCCTCACTATGTTCCTCATTAGCTTAAAGTTCAAGGTTCAGGCAATCACTTCTCACCAACATTGCCCCTTTCTTTCCACTTAGTAATTGACTGGCAAATCCTAGCTCTGATTAAACTCTACTAACCATCACCCATCCCTGTATTTGAGTACCCAAACACTATTGGAGAAAATCACACAACACTAAATAGGCTCACAACGTGTTTTTGACTCAGATCTCCAATGAGCACTCAAGGCTGTACAACAATCATTACATTTTCCTGGTGGCTTCTCCCTCTTCTTAAAGCACAATTTTTCTCTTTTTCCAGGTTGGGATGGAACCCAGGGCCTTGTGCATGCTAGGCAATCTCTCTGCCACTGAGTTACATCCCCAGGCCTCTTTCTCCCTCTTCAAATGAAAATTTTACCTCTTTACATCTGCTCTCTTCAAACCTCAGGTCTGTCTGAGAATCTGTCCCCTCAACCCAAGGTCACTGCTCCTCCCTCATTTCTTGTTCTCTCCCATACTCAGGAAAAGATCAGGCTGAGAGGAAACCACCTCTCCCCTCCTGGAACAAGGGGCCCAGTGTCCACAGGATAAGCACCCCACCTTGCCCCCTTGACCACCAGCAATTCCCACAGCCTTCCCAATCTCGGGTGCAATGGTACCTTCCTGAGGAGAAGCATTCATTCCCTCCCTCCTTTGTGGTCCTATCAGAGGAAAGGGACAAGGGCTCTTTGCTCTCATGAATTTGCTTGTCTACTTTATTGACCAGGAAATAGCTAAGGGCTGTGTCTGATTTTTATCTGTCTTTCACTCCCATCACTTGGCACAGGATTGGAGTTGAATGAATAAATGAAATAGAATCTGAGAAATCCACAAAAAGGCCACGGAGGCATTGTCAGAGATAGTTGGAGTCCCAGGCACAAGATGAACATGAGGACACACTCTTACTGAGAAGCCCAGCCTCAAGCAAAACATTCACCTGTCCCCTGGGGCTCTGCTCCTCTTTCCTGAAAAGTAACTTTCCCAGGTGCTTCAGAAGAATGAGTGATAAGTATTCTATCTGATCTGTAGTATGGTTAGCCAACCTACTTTTCTTTATGGGGGATGGAACTCAGAGGCACTTGACCACTGAGCCACATTCCCCAGCCCTGTTTTGTATTTTATAGAGAGACAGGGTCTCACTGAGTTGCTTAGCGCCTGGCTTTTGCTGAGGTTGGCTTTGAACTCGAGATCTTCCTGCCTCAGCCTCCTGAGCCGCTGGGATTATAGGCCTGTGCTATGGGGCCCAGCCCAACCTACTTTTTAAACATATGCATTGGTTATTGAAATAAAATTCATATAATGTAAAATTTATCATTTTAACCATTTTAAAGTATACAAATTTAAATTTTAATATGTTCACAGTGTTGTGCAATCATCACTACAAATTAATACCGAAATATGCTGGGGGTGTAGCTCAGGGGCAGAGCACATGCCTAGCATGAATAGCACATAGTTAGCTATTATGCAAACAATGCTTGGCATTATACAAACATTAACTTATTTTATCCCTCTCAATGACAATAGAAAGTAGGTAGTACTCTCATCCCCATTTTACAGATGAGAACACCAGGCCCAGAGAGGGAATTTGCCAAGTCTCACAAGGCTAGTAGGGATGGAGTTGGGATTTAACCATTTTTAATTGGCTTCAGCATCAGGTTTTTCATCATTGCCAGATTTACATCCAGTCTTGAAGCACTGTGTGATAGGGTGCTTTTCTAGGTCAAGATAGAAGGGACAATTCCAGGTCAAATCTTCCTGTTCAAGGACAAGTGACTTGAAATGCTCCTCCTCCTAGATATATAAAATGGCAGTGTCTTAGCAGCTATTTTTCTAGGATTAGGGTGGAACAGGGTCCTTGAGACAGATATTATCTTCACTTTAAAGAGGAAGAAACTGAGGTTCAGAAAGGTGACAAACTTTACAGGTTTTTCCCTGGGCCACAGTGACCCTAAGCACTGATTCTGGGCTGAGAGTCTGGACTAGGTCTGGCTGGCAGTCACAAGGAGTCCAGTGTCTCCCCTAGAGTCATCAGGATACTCTCTGCCTGGCCAGCCTATGATTCCCTAAGAGGCTGCTGGGCCACTTGTGAAACCGGAAATAATGACTTCAAAATGCTCAGGGTTATAGGGTCAGCTGGGACTGCTTGGTATGGTCTGCTTGGTTGCCTGATCTGGTTAACCGCTACCACTTGTCCTTTGGTGGGAGGGAAACTGCAGAGAGAGTTTGCATTGGTGGTTTGGAGTTTCACAGCCCATAAATTGCTAATCTTCCGAAGTCCAACCCCAAAGCTCATAAGCCTCCAGGTCTCCTAACATCTTCACCTTTCTGCCCAGGAGGTGAACACTCTTTCCCTTCTTCCTCAGAGGCTGGAATGGAAGTGAAAGTTTGACATATTGGAAGAGAATTGGCTAGCCCCATTGGAGAGAATTTTTATGAAGGCAAAGGAAGCAATGTAAAATACATAGAAATCAGTGTCTGATCGGGGTCCCAACCTTGCTCCAGTGCATACTAATTGCATATAAACTGGGTGCCCTGCTCAAGTTCTGTGCTCAGTTTCTTCATCTGAAAAGTAGGAATAATCTGTTTTAGGGATCCACAAATTATTTTTCAAAGCCTTTTAAAAATATTTTTAAATGGACACAATCCTTTCATTTTATTTATTTTTTATGGGGTGCTGAGGATCGAATCCAGTGCCTCACATGTGCTAGGCAAGTGCTCTACCTACCACTGAGCCCCAATCCCAGCCCTAAATTATTTCTTTAATGGACCCGATGGCACGTGTTAAATCCTATGAGCCTGGCTGTCTCTGTCCTAGCCACTCTGCCCTTCTACCAAGAAAGCAGCCACCGACGCATAAAGGAATGGCGTGGCTTTGTTCCCATAAAACTCTATTTATAAAATCAGGTGGTGAGCTGGATTTGACGTATCAGCAAACCGATCCCTGATCTACCTCCCACTGCTGTTGGGAAGAAGCGACTGACATGCTGTTTCTCTGCGGACTACACAATGTGGGAGCAGCTGGAAGGCACCCAACGCGGTAATGAAAATAAAGCTAGGAGCTCGAGAGCGCTTCGGGATGGGAATGCCCGGGGCTGACGGAGCTGACCATCAGGTAGGCATGGGCCGCAGAGGAGGCTCGCACGCCGTCCAGAGTTCAACCAGATGATCAAAGTACCAGCACCGCTCTTTCGGCAGCCAGCAGATCGCTCCAAAAAGTTCCAGCCGCCTTCTCCAGGAGTCCCTCTCCTAGCCCTTCGGCTGGTCCTCTCCCTCAGATTCCAGCCAGAAAGCCCGACGCCGAAACTGGGTCCCTCAAGTCCCCGCCCCCAAAGCCTGGACACGCCCTCTGGAGTCTCCGCCCCCAGAGCTCAGACCAGCGAGTGACGCACAAGGCCCCGCCCTCTGGAGTCCCCGCCCCCAGAGTCCGGACCAACGAGCAACTCACCGGGCCCCACCCTCTGAAAACTCCGCCCCCAAAGCCCGGACCGGCGTGCTTTGCGGTCGCCCCCGCAGGGCCCCGCGCACGTGTCGCCGCGTACTGGGCAGCCGCAGAGCAGGTGAGCGCGCCGAGCCATGCGGAAGGTACCTGGACTCGCGGGCCGAGCTTTCGTCCCTAGCTTCCCTGCTGCAGGGTGTTCTGGGGCCTAGGGTGGAAGCATAGCAGAGCCCCTGTGCGAAGGTCCTGCCGCCCCTCCTCGCCCAGCCGCCCGCGGGGGAGGCCCCAGAACCTGCCTTGGCGCCGGCAGCCCTGAGTGCGTTAGAGCTTCGTCCAGGATCCTTCCTTTCCTAGCCTAAGTTTCCTCTTTGGAAAGAAAGGCCCAAATGAGATGACGTTAGTATGATTTCCTTATTAAAACAGGCTAAGCAGTACCCCGCGTTCTCGTTTGCTGAACGTCATTGCTAATTAAACATTTTTCACAGACAGGAAAATAGTAAGCTTCAACCAAAGTTATATAATTGTGATTATTAGGTGACATGCCCAGATGAAATGATAAGGTATTTGGAATGTTTCAAAATAAACCAGTCAGGGATGTGGGGTAGGAATAAATGAAACAGTATTGGCTGAGTTGATAATGATTGAATTTGATATATTATTGTCTCTACCTTTGTTTATGTTTATGATTTAGCATAACAGGTTTTCTAAAATGAGTACATTGCTGTGGTGCCTGACAGCCCATGCTCAAATATTGTGCCTGAATTAACTGTTAGGGCTAACAACAGTACTGGGTGGCCTAACTGGGAGAAATTTATTTTCTCACAGTTCTGGAGGCTAGAAGTCCAAGACCAAGGTTTGATCAGGTTTGGTTTAGCCTTGACTTGCAGATGATCTCCCTGTGTCTTTGTGATATTCCCTCTGTACATGTATTTTTCTTTTCCTTTTTTTTAATATTTATTTTTTAGTTTTAGGTGGACACAGTGTCTTTATTTTTTTTATTTTTTAATTTTATGTGGTGTTGAGGATGGAACCCAGCGCCCTGCGCATGCCAGGCAAGCACGTTACTGCTTGAGCCATGTCCCCAGCCCCTATACATGTGTTTTTCTAATCTCACTTTTATGAAGATACCAGTCTGATAGGATTAGAGTCCATCACAATCTCATTTTCCTTTCCTTTGTATGACCCTATCTTCAAATAGAGTCATATTCTGGTGTACTAAGAGGCCATGATTCAGTCCATAACCCTATACTAGCCTGGGATTTTGACCAGTCTTCTTAACCTAGCCATGCATCAATTCTCACAAATTTAAAATAGGGGCAATCATAGCATAAGTCTTGGGGTTATGAAGATTCAGTTGTATGTCATACAGTCAACTTTTTTTTTTTTTTTTTTTTTTAGTTTTAGGTGGACACAATATTTTTATGTGGTGCTAAGTGCCTTACGCATGCTAGATAAGTGCACTACCATTTGAGCCACATCCCCAGCCCATACAGTTAGCTTTTTTATTAGAGGGTTCACCTCTAGGGATTCAACCAATCACAGATTTAAATATTTGGAAACAAATTTTTTCATCTGCATTGAACATGTATTGCTTATTCCCTAAGCAATACAGTATAACAACTATATACATGATATTTGCATTACATTGGGTGTTAAAAGTAATTAGAGATTATTAAAATATGTAAGAGGATGTGCATAGGCTATATGCAAATACTAAGCCATTTTATACAGAGAAGAACATTCAGAAATTTTGTTATCTGGGGGTACTGGAACCAGTCCCCTGTGGTTTCAGAGGAATAATTCTCTGTGTATATATGTTTAAATATCTCTTAAGTTTATTAGTAGTACAGGTATATTTTCCTAATATAGCCAGCCCTAATATAGCCAGCCCTGTGGGTTCTGCATCCATGAATTCAACTAATAATCAAAAATATATTTTAACTGTATCTGTACTGACCATGCAAACTTTTTTCTTGCCATTATTCTCTAAACAATATAACAGCTATACACATAGCAATTACATTGTGTTAGTTATTATAAGTAATCTAGAGATGATTTAAAATATTCAGAAGGATGTACATATGTTATATATATATATAAAAATACTATATCAACTTATATAAAGAACTTAAGCATCCTTGGATTTTTATATCTGCAGGGTGGGTCAGAGGTCCTAGAATCAACCTAGGGACAGCTGTATATGTAAAGCTGTTACAACTGTGCCTAGCATAAAGTACCCAATAAATTGATCATATGATTCATTTACAAATTAATGATAATAAGGCTTCACAATGAAATGAATGGTGGGTGGAATGAGGTAGTTGGGTACTTAGTACTGTACATGGCTATAAGAATAAAAATAAGAATTATAGCTGTTTTCTCAAGGGATGTCTGCTACTAAGCCAAACACTGATTGTTTTATGTATGTTCATTTATTTATTCATTGCAACCACCTTTGAGGTGGGCCACTGTCGCATGCCTATTTGGCAAGTAGAGAAATGATTCTTTGAACCCATTTGGTCTGCCTGTAGAGCCAGCCCATGCTTTAAACCTCAATGCAGAATTGCCTCATTAAAGAAGGATATTGCTCTTGTTCTCTTTTTCTTAGCCAGGTTGTCAGCAGTGGGAGCACTCATGGCTGGTCCCCTGTGGCGGGTCTCAGCCTTCATACAGAGACACAGGACAGCCCTTTTAGTGGGTTCCTGCACAGGCCTGTTTGGAGCTCAAATCTCGTACCACCTCTTCCCGGATCCCGTGGTCCAGTGGCTTTACCAGTACTGGCCCCAGGGCCAACCGGCCCCACTCTCCTCAGAACTACAAAGCCTCTTCCAAGAGGTCCTGCAGGATATGGGCGTCCCTTCTGGCCACTGCTACAAGCCCTTCACCACCTTTACCTTCCAGCCTGTGAGTGCCGGCTTCCCAAGACTCCCTGCCGGGGCTGTCATAGGCATCCCTGCCAGCTTCCTTGGTGGCCCAGTAACCAACACTGATCATCCTGTGGTCGTACATGGGCAAAGAGTAGACTGGCAGACCCCAGCAGGCACCCGTCTAAGAGATGCCCTGACCCTCTCCCGTGACGCCCAGAAGTTTGCCTTGGCCAGAGAGGTGGTATACCTGGAGACTAGTGCAGCTGCCCTGCAGGCCCTGCCAGCCCCAGCTTGCCTGGCAGGAACCTGGGCACTGAGTGTGGGTGCCAAGCATGCACTAGGACTCTATGGAGGCCCCATGAACATACGAGCTGCCTTCAACTTGGTGGCAGCAGTGGCAGGCTTCGTGGCCTATGCCTTCTCCGCAGACTCTCTTACTCATGCCCTGGAAGGTTGGCTGGACCGCCGCACCGCCTCCCTGTCTACAGCCTACGCCCGAGGTGGAGTGGAATTCTATGAGAAGGTTCTGTCAGGCAACCTGGCCCTGCGCAGTCTCTTGGGCAGACGCGGGGAGAAGCTGTATACACCCAGTGGGAACATTGTCCCCAGACACTGGTTCCGCATCAAGCATTTACCCTACACAACCCGCCTGGACTCTGTACTGCAGATATGGAGGGTAGCACCCAACCCAGGCCGCTCCTGAGGTGCTCATCACCAGGACAGTTCCAATTCATGCAAATACCACTCTGGCATTGTCTGGGGGAATCCCTTGGGACCTCTGGACCCACACACCACAGTCAGAAAAATTATAGGCTTTGGAGTTAAATATCCTAGATTCTGTCTTCTCCTACCACTTATGAACTCAGGGACCTTGGGCAAGCCCCCTTTATGAATCTGAGCCTTAGTTTTCTCAACTATAATGTGGAGAGGATATAAACTACCTCACAGGATTATAGAGTTATGTGAAATCATGAATAAGAGGACCTGGCAGAAAGAGTACCATGAATAAACAGAATATTGCTCCTCCTTTATCTTTGAATTCCGTTGGTTGTAGGAGTCAGGCCACATCTTCCCAACTAGAGGTGCTGGTAATAGTCAACCCTTTCCTACAGTGAAGAACCCTCCTCTGTCTGCCCAGTGGTCAAATTCTAGTCTTTCTCCATTGAGGTAGAGGTTAAAAGATTTAAAAGGCTAGGGGCTGAAGTTGTGGCTCAGTGGCCGAATACTTGCCTCGCATGTCTGAGGCACTGGGTTCTCAACACCACATATAAATAAATAAATAAATAAATAAAGGTCCATCAAGAACTAAACATATATATATTTTTTTAAAAAAAGATTTAAGAGGCTAAAATGTGAATTTGGTGGGGCTTTTAGAGTGGTGTGCCAATAAAGTCCTATGGATGCAAATGGTACACCCAGAGAAGGGAAACCAGGGAAGTGATGGGGCACCAGGAAAGGCACCTGACCAGAAGAGGAAGGGAGGTGTTCCTGGAACACAGCAGAAGCTCTGCCTAAAGATGGAGGAAAGAACAAACCATTGCAAATCTGAGGCTCTGCTGGGGAGTTCAAAGCAGTCAGCCTCCTGGGGTACAGAGCATGATCAGGGCTTGGAGAGCAGAGGGCGTTAAGTGGTGCAGCTTTGCTTGGTGAGGACACTGGGGACAACAGAGGGTGGAGGTAGGCAGTGAACCAGGCACATGTCATAGGATCCATGGGGACTGTATCCTTGTTCCCCATGAGCCCTCTGGTGGTACAGAAAGCAGCCCCTCGGCTTTGATCTTTGGACAAGAGACCTCCATCCAACAGGGCAAAGTGAGGAGAGCTAAAACCAGGACTAATTTGGCCATTCATGTCATCCTTACATTGGAAATAATGTTTTTTCTGGAAGAGTTTTGAAGAATTCAGACATGGTGCCAGTAAAATTCAGGACAAAGGGATTAGGTCACACCCAGGGAAGGCACTGGTGGTGGCAGACAGTTCCTGGCAGGAGACCTTGCGAGAAGAGTAAGCAGGGTAAGTCATGGTATACCTTCCTGCTAGGATTTCAGTGTGGTCTAGAGCTCAGTGTGCTGTGCCAACCTACAAGTCCCTCCACCAGACCTGGGCTGGCTGAGAACAGGGGACCCCTGCTCATCTCACAGATCCCTAGCACCTAGGACAACATAAGGCATGGGCTTGATAAGTACATAGACAGATAGATGAGGTACAACTGGTGAATAAGAGTCCACCCTGGCAGATAGCACTTCACAGGGCTCCTTGGGATGTCACCTAGCCATAGCTGCTGCTGACATCAAGGACCATCATGCCAAGGGGGTCAAATATGGAGTCTGAATTTGATGGACTCCACCTTCTCGCCACTCCCTGCCCCCACCCATCTACTTTTAATGTTGGCATGAGCCCAGATGGCAGCATCAGGCCTTCATGCTGATCTGCCTAAGTGCTATGATTTGTCCGCCAATGGTTGATATGGTAGAAGTTGCCCTGTACAGCAGTGTTAAGAAGTAGAACCTTTAATAGGTGGGACCTAGTAAGGGATAATTAGGTCACTGGGGGCATTGCCCTCAGTAAGGATGAATTACTGATCTCTGGAAGTGAACTCTGGTGAGAGCAAGCTGTAGTTTAAAAATAATAATAAAACTGGCCACTCCACCCACACTTCCTGTCTGGTTATGGGATCTTTCCTTCTTGAGTGCACTCCCACCATTAGGATGCCATCTGCCATGAGCTCCTCACCAGAGGTGAAGAGAAGTTGGTCCCATGTTCTTGGACTTCCACGATATGAGCCAAATAAACCTGTTTTCTTTATAAATTACCCAGTTTCAAGTATTTTGTTACAACAACAGAAGATAAACTAATATAGGAAGGTAGCCCCAGTATGGGGGAGAGTAAACCCCAGAACTGTTGCTTACTCTTTCCCTCCATTCCCAAGTCGGTCTTTGTCCCCACTCATTGTTCTTCCTAGTCCCCACACATGCTTAATGTGCCACTTCCAAAACCTAGGCTCCCAGAGGCTTCACCATGTGTGGGTGTGTGGGTATGTTGTCCTTTCACCCCACAGCCACACACACATACTTCTCTAGCCACAGCCAAAATACAAAAAACAGAGTTCCAGAGTCATCCTGATCCTGGCTGGTCCCACTATCTCTGTCCCTTCTGGTGTCCACAGTGCAGGGCCCAACTTGAAGCTGAGCACACATGGAAGCCATTGCAGCACATGAAGCCTAGAAGGATATATAGTAGAAAACTGGTTCCCAAGCTGGGAATGTAGCTCAGTGGTAGGGAAACTGCCTAGCTGCCTAACATGCAAGAGCCCTGACTTCAGTTCCCAGAATGGCAAAAAATAATAAGATTGGAACCGGAGAGGCTGGGGCTGGGGCTATAGCTCAGTGGCAGAGCGCTTGCCTAGCATGCATGAGGCACAGGGTTCGATCCTCAGCACCACATAAAAATAAATAAAGTAAAGGCATCCTGTCCAGCTACAATACCAAAAAAAGGAAAAGAAAAGATTGGAGCTGGACATGGTAGCACACCCCTGTAATCCCAGCAGCTCAGTAGGCTAGGGCAGGAGGATCACAAGTTCAAAGTCAACCTCAGCAAAAGTGGGGCACTAAGCAACTTATTGAGACCCTGTCTCTAAATAAAATACAAAAAGGGCTAGGGATGTGGGTCAGTGGTTAAGTGACCCTGGTCCCATTACCAAAAACTAAAAAATAAAATAAATTGGTTCCCTAAATTTTAGTGCTTTTAAGTGGTACAAGTACTAGGGTGTTCAGGTCTTAAAATTACTTCCCAAAGGCTAGTAATTCCTTGAAAACAGAATCCCTCCCACTCCCCATCCCACTTCAGGAAACTTTGCTGCCTAATACAGCTCTACTTCATAGCTTTTCAAAGACCCAGTCAGGGCACTTCTTAGGTTGCTATGAATTAGCTCCTTTGGGAAATTACAAAGTTGCTGCCCATGTAATTTCTGAAAGATGGTTGCTTAGAGCAAAGGACCCAGGTGGCCCTATGGGAGAGAGGGCATTTAAGTGGGAGGTGGTCTTTTACACATACTATACTAGTCATATTTTAACTCTAGAATGTCCATTATTAGGTTGTGGTAAGAATGACATGAGCAGACATTCTTGGTGACTTTCGTAGTCCGCAGCCCATGGCCACAGAGATCACTGGTCCTGCTGTTCTTGGCTACAGGCAGTCTTGCTGCCTTTGGTTCTAAACAATGCAATGCAGCAACACTGAGGGTTCTGTAGTTTGGGTCTGGAATGTTCCCCATAGACCCAAGTATTAAAGACTTTGTCCCCACTTTGATGCTACTTGATCCCCACCATGGTGGGAGGTAGGGCCTAGAGGGTGTGCCCTCAAAGGGATAGTGGGACCCAGCCTCTTTCCACTTTATCTTTTGTCCCCAGCTACTGAAGTGAGTGGTTTTATTCTACCATACACTTAGGCCCTGATGTGCTGCCTTACCACAGGCCTAAATGCAGCAGTAGGGGCAGGAGGATCACGAGTTCAAAGCCCACCTCAGCAAAAGGCAACCAACTGTGGACTGAAACCTCCCAAACTGAGCCCTGTGAGAACTTTTATCTTTATAAGTTTATTATCTTGGGTAGCAGACTAACAGGAAGGATATATCATTGCTATGATTAAGTTCACAAAAGTTTGTAATTTCCATCTTACAAGCTGATTACTGTCTTGGTTTTCATGTCTTAATGAAAAACAAGCAGCCATGTTGGAGAGACCCAAATGCCAAGAAACAATTGTAGGGTGGCCTTTGACCAATAGCCAGCTAAGAACTATGGACTTCATTCCAACAGTCCACAAGGAACTGAGACCTGGCAGCAACCATGTGAGCTTGAAAGAGAATCCTTCTGCAGTCCAGCTTTTAGGAGACCCTAGCCCTAGTCAACACTGCAGCCTGTAAGAGCCCCTGAGGCAGAGAACACAGCTAAGTTGTGCCTGGACCCTGACCCATAAGTGCAGCGAGGCAGTAATTTCATGTTGTGGTAAATCATCTTGTTTTTGGCAACTTGTTATACAGCAATAGTTAATTATGTTATTAGTGGATAAAATATTTTTAGAAAGCAGTGTGGCAAAACTTGATAAAATCATATGACTATATCTTTTAGCCCTGTAATGTCAAACCTAGAAATTTATCCTAGGGCAAAAACCCAACAGACATGAAATAGTATATGCCCAAAGATGTATGTAAGAGCATTAGCCATATTTTTAAATAGATATAATGGAAATGTGAACAGCAGTAATTTAGAAAATGGTGAATATTGTTCAGACACTGAAAAGGATAATTATAAAACCTATGGTAAGAACATGGGGAAATGTTAATTATAAATAGCAAATAATTTTTTAAAATATTTTTTAAAATATTACCTGCATGAAGATTATAGTAATGTAAACATTGTAACTTGGGAGGAAATTCACAAAATTAAAAGTAATCCTGTTATGGTGGATTTTTTTCCATGCTGGATATCAAACCCAGGGCCTCATGCATGCTAGGCTAGTGCTTTATCCCTGAGCTACATCCCTCTCTAGCCCTGTTAAGGTGGAATTTTGAAATGATTTTATTCACTAAAGTAGGAGGCAAATAAATGTGTATTTATGTGTATATATATTATATATACAATATAATGTATAAATATATGTGTGTGTATTTACATCGTGTGTGTATGTGTGTGTGTGTGTGTGTGTGTGTGTGTGTGTGTGTGTGTTAAGTGAAGTCCTACTCAGAGGAGCCTGGACCTATGCCTTATTTCTGCATCAAGGTGACAGATTCTGGCATCCCTGCCTTGGCCTGTGTTCTTGGGGTGTGGCCAATTTTCTGTCATTAACTATGGCAGCCATGAAAATGTGCTGCTCAGACCTGCTGCAGGAGGAGATTTGACCGACAGCCCCAGTTGTTGTTTCTCTAGATCTGCCACCATGTTAGCACAGAGACCAGGCCTCCGTGGGCTATTTTCAGCCAGTGACTGAGCATAGTGGCAGTACCACTACAGGTAACCTGTCAGTCTCCTACAGGTGGCTGCCACTCAAGGACTCCTTATTGGCCTGGACAAAACCTTTCTTAGAACTCTCTAAAGTCTGAGGCCCTTCTTCCCCACTTGTGGTCTAAAAGATCTCCCTACTTTCCTCATGCATGCTAGGAATGCATGGTGTTAGTTTGGGTCCAAACAGGAGACTGAAACCACATGCCAATCTGATCAGGAAGAGTTCTCTAGAAAGAATTATTGTTGCTAGGTGCAGTGGCACAGGCCTGTAATCCTCAGTGGCTTAGGAGGCTGAGGCAGGAGGTTTGAAAATTCAAAACCAGCCTCAGCAACTTAGCAAGGCCCTAAGCAACTTAGTGAGACCCTGTCTCAAAATAAAAAACAAAAAGGGCTGGGGATGTGACTTAGTGGTTCAGCTTCTGTGGATTCAATCTCTGGTACCAAAAAAAAGAAAAAGAAAAAAAGAAAGAATTGTTGTTCAATAAGACATGATGAGGGACTAACTTCTAAGAAGTGTTCTCTTGAGAACTCTAAAGAGTTTATGAACAGTAGCTATAAGGAGCAGCTCCTTCTGTCCTGCCAGGGATGAGATCCAGATCTCACTGTGACCACCACTCACTGGTGCAAACAAGTTGCCAAGGTATGGCCCCAGCAGAACTTGCTAGAAATTTACCCTCTGAGATAATAGAGAACCCATCCACAGGAGATGAAGCAGTGCCTTGGAACTTGACATAAAGCCACAGAAAAGATGCTGGGGAGCTGTCTTTAGGGAAGGGGCCTCACCAGAGTTCACTGCTGCAAAGCCCCAGATGGATGCCAGGGCAGGACCCTGACTAGCTAATTAAGCACTAACCGTTCACAGCATGGCTGTAATTATGCTCACTCTTACCTGGAACAGCCAGGAGCATACTCTTTTTCTGCTCACTGGCTCAGTTTTCCAAGACTTCAAGTCACTGTGGGTGTTGAATTTTCCTAAATTCATCTGCATGTGATAAGACCACAACCCTTGCCTTATTGCCCAGCAGCATGGACTTCCTCACTTTCCAGACCCCTGAGCAAAGCTCCCTGATCTGGTCCAAATCAGGTCAGATCTACACTCAGCCAACTGGGAGGCCCCTTCACAGCTTGTGAGCAGCCCTGTGGGCCTGAAATGTGCCTGTCTTTGTCAAATTGCCAAGGCAGGAAAAAACTGGAATCTGGGTCCTAAGAGACTGGGAACCCCAGGGTGCCCTTGGTCAGGACGTGAAGGCCACCTTTAGCCTCAGAGTCAGACCACCTGGATTAAGAACCTGACTCTGCAACTTTATACTCTGGGCTTGTTATGTTCCCTCTCTGTGCATTAGTTTTCCCCATTTGCAAGTTGGAATAGTAACAGTGCCCACCTACTTGTTCCAATGAATTGTTTGCAAAGCACCTGGAACACTTCCTGGCCCAGAATTGAAGCTTGAGGAAGTTGAGCAAAATTTTTATCTACTAGTCATTCATTGCCCAAGGCACAGTGGTCAGGAAGGGACTGAATCAGAGCCCAGCATGGCACTTTTGGAAGCGTCTCAGGTGACTGTGGTATGAGTCAGAATTGGCAGCAGGCCCTGCACAGCCTTCTCAAACCACAACAGAGTTTTGTTTATGTCTGACTCCACCCCAGCCTGGGACCCCCAAAAGGGCAACAGGCAACACCACCTCCTATTCCTGGAAGCTGACGGGAGTTGGTGTTCGGGAAGTGTTTGCTGAAGACAAGACTGTATTTGCTGTAAGGTCAGCTCAGTGTCCCTTTCTCAGAGAACCTCCCATCAGAGAGGCTGCTGTGGCCAAG